AATTTTAAATTATTTTTAAAATACTTATTTAAAATTATTTACAATAAAATGTAGTGTACCAATATTAGGTGGTAACATGTCCAATCTTATCTTCAATTTTTTTTAATGCTTGAAAGGTTTTCCAGTGATTTTTTTTTTTAACTTTTGAACTTCTCACATACCATAGTTTCTTCATTTAAGTTTTCTGAAGCTTCAAGGTCCCGTCATAACAAACTATAGTGTTTATAAATGAGTCAATGGCCTTGATATAGAAAGTAATGACAGTGATTTCTCAAAATAAGGTACATACTACTGTGCATTTCTATGATAACATATATCCACAGCAAAGAGTTTATTTTGTATATGTAATATATGTGTATGTAAAATAGACATAAAGACTGTGCACCCCTTCTAGGGAAACACTGGTACACTTGTACAATTAAGAAACTCTTTAAAAGTACCCCTAAAAATATTATCAGAGAAGAACAAAAGACACTTAAATTCTCATCAAATGGAAATCATGTCTAATGATTTAATAATGATTCCCTTATAAATTAGTTAATGTGTAAATAAAAAACTACTGGGAAATCAATCATAAAAGATTAAACATACGCAAATTTTTTTTATAAAACTTACACTGAAGGAACAAATTACTTGAAGATACTTAATATTTTTACCTTAAGATTCTTGTATACTTATAATCCAGGATTTCCATAAAATATTTAATTCCCAGCTTATAAGAAACTGGTAAAGGAAGTCATAATTTATCTTTAGTCATAATCTGCCCACCTAGTCTCATTCTAGTAATAATGCTGCCACTAGTAATGGTCAGGATGGTACAATTCTTTATACATGCTTAAGAATTATAAAAAGCAATCCTCATAAAAATTCCAATGTAAATCTTCACAGAAATTGAAAAAGCAATTCTAAACTTAAAATGGAAGTATAAATTACTCTGAATAGTCAAAATAATCCTGAACAATAAAAACACTGCTGGAAGTATCACCATTCATGATTTCAAGTTATACTACAGAGGCATGGCAGTAAAAACAGCATGGCACTGCACAAAAACAGACACATCGATCAATGAAAGAGAACTGAGGACCCAAATATAAGCCAATATACCTATAGTCATCTAATTTTTGACAAAGATGCCAAAAAAATATATGCTGGCGAAAACACAGCATCTTTAACAAAGGGTTTTGGGAAAACTGGGTATCTTCAAGTAGAAGAATGAAACTCATCCTCCTCTCTTACCCTGCACACAAATCAATTCCAAATGAATCAAAGATCTCAATGTTAGATCTGAAACTGAAACTTCTATAAGAGTAGGAAGTATACTTCAGGATATAGGTTCAGGTGAGGACATTCTGAATAGGACTCCAGTCACCCAGGAAACAGGACCAACAATCAACAAATGGAACTTCATGAAATTAAAAAGTTTCTGTACTGCAGAGGAAGCTGTTAATCAACTGAGGAGGCAGTCATGAGAATGAGAAAAAAAGTCTCTGGCAGCTACATATATGACAGAGGATTACTGTTTAGAATATTTAAAGAACTCAACAAGCTAAAGACCAAGAAAGCAAACAACCCAATTAAAAAGTGGGCTACAGAACTGAACAGTGTTCTCAGAATAGAAAATAGAAATGGCTAAGAAATATTCTTGAAAGTGTTCACCTTCCTAAAAGAAAGGAGCCAGGAGCTCATCCCAAGCCCATGTGACCCCCAAGGACCAGATCCTCAAATGACCTGAAGTGTAAAAATAAATTGATTTATTTGGGCCAACTGTATGGTCTTAAATGCCCAAAAGGAAAGTAAAACCAAAGAGTAAAGTCAGTACTGCATTTCTTTAAGATTTCAAAGGATTACACTTTCCAGACATTAGGCTTAAGTCTATAGAAAAAGTTATTTAGACAATTATTTCTCACTGATGATTTTGTTCCTAACCAGAAAGTGCTGCTCAGATGTAAGACTTCAAATCTTGGTCTCCAATACTGTAGTGCCCACCTGTAGCTAAGGGAGACAACCAGCTATTGTTCTAAAATGATGGATAAATTTATTTTCTCCCCCTAT